CTCATTTTGAGTTTTTGGTGTCATGTATTAGTACTTCTTGCATAACTCAAGATTATCACATTTTTTCCCTAATTTTTTCTACTGAAAAATTTATAGTTTTAGCTGTTACCTTTAGGTCTATAACAAATTTTGAGTTAATTGTTTTGTGTGGGTTGAGGGAAAGGTCTAAATACATCTTTTTATATGTAGGTAGTCAGTTGTGTTAACACCAGCTCTTGAAAAGAGTATGCTTTTCCTCATTGAATTGTATTGTCACTTTTTTAAAAAAAATCAACTGATCATAAATTGATTTCCGGGTTCAAAATTCTGTTCCACTGATCAATTTGTCTATCTTTAGGCTAATATCACACTGTCTTCATCTCTGTGACTTTATAGTATTTTCTGAAATTGGAAAGTACAAGTCTTCTCATTTTGAACTTCTTTTAAATGATTAATTTGGCTATTCTGGTTCCTCTGCATTTTCATATGAAATTTAGGATGAGGCTGAAAATTTCTGCAGAAAAATAAAAGCCTGCTGGAATTTTGATAGGAATTTTATTGACTCCATAGATAAATTTGGGATCAACTGCTGTTTCAGTAACAGTGAGTCTTCCTCCTCGTGACTTTGAAATGTTTCTCTTTTTACTCATATCTTCTTTGTGTCAGAAATGTTTTGTAGTTTTTTTGTTTACAAGTTTTGTTACTTTTTTATTAAATGTCTTACTGAGCATTTGATGTTTTTATCCACTTGTGAATGGAATTGTTTTCTTAATTTTATTTCAGACTTTTCATTGTTAATATATAGTACTGCAATAGATTTTTGTATATTGATTTTTTTTATCCTATGACTTGCTGAATCCATTTACTTTTTTTAGTTTCAGTAGATTTTGTAGATACTTTTATGATTTTCTATGGGTAAGATGAGTCAACTATGAATAAGGAATTTTGCTTCTTTTTTTCAAATCTGACTTTAAAAAATGGACTATATAGAATTTTCATTATAATGTTGAATAGAAATAGCATAAGCATCCATCCTTGATTCCTATCATGGAGTGAAAGCATTTATTATTTTACCATGACATATTTTTTCAGTTGTAAATTTTTCATAGATA